GGGGTCACCCAGGACCCAACCTGTTTCTGGTGAATTTAAAGGAAATGAGTCAATGTGAATAATCGCGCTCTCCAGTCCCAGGCCCCGGCCTGCAGGCACTTCTCAAGCATCCCATTTCCTCCACACAACAGCCCTGATGGCACAAATGACTGTCATCCCATTGCACAGAGGAGGAAACGGAAGCCCTAAGGGTTTAGGTTGTTTGCTCCAGATCCAGCTGCTAGAAAGCAGTGGAGACAGGATTCAACTCCGGACCAGTCTGAATCCAAAGTCCCAGGACCTGCCCCTCCACTAACAGGATAAGAAATCTCTCCTCCTTGCCACCCACCTCTTGAACAGCAAGGGAACCAAGTTGACCTTTCTGTCCCCTGCATCATCTGTTGGGGCGGGGCGAGGTGGTGCGCTTGACAGCCTGGAGGAGACGGCCCACTCAGCTTGTCTTGCTGAGGCTCTGGCCCCAGGTCCAAGCTGTCATGGGGTAAGCTGCCCCAGGGCCCAGCCAGTCACGGGAGGAGGTCAGGGCTGCAGGACTAGTTAATAATCATCTAGTCCAGAAGTATTTAAACTGGGACCACAGACTGTGGGCAGAAATCAAGGGGTTTGTTAGCATGTGGAGGGATCACAGTTACAGATGTAGGGAGCAAGCCACAGTTTGCTGGGACTCTAGCAGTGCCTGGAGCTTTGCCACCAACAGAAGCCACAGCTACTCCTGTTGTGCAGAAACCTCACATTACCACCCACACTCATTGCCACTTCAAAATTACTGCAGTTTCCAGACCTGCTACTAGGCCTTGTTATTTAGTGGGTTAACCAAGAAGCACATATATTACAATGTTCCAAATTTATTTCATATTTTGATAACTGTATTTCCATCTAACTGATTCTCTTTGTAATCCTGTGTATTATCATTTATGCATATAAAAATATTATTCTAAGGAGGGGTTCATGGACTTCACTGGATGGCCAATGGCTCCATGACCCAAAGAGAGCCTCCGATCTAGCCCCACACCCTCCTTCGGTTACATGGCATGTGGGGGAAGGGGTGTGGGCAGAGAGCTGGGCCCTATGTTCTTGGTGGGTGGTGGCCTTTGGATCCTGTGACCTTAGAGAAGCAGGCAGCTACCCTGCAGCTCACCCTTCCTCAGTCAGGGCTCTAGACCCATGACACCTCGGCCGCACAGGCCCCAGGCCACTCCTGCGGTGGCTTTGTGGGTCCTGGGAGGAGGGGAGCAGAGGGGAGCTGCCAGTGGCAGACAGCTGGAGCCGGCCCGGGTTCAGAGCCAGCGTCGCTTCCTCCGAGCTGTTGTTTCTCCACTTCTCTAAGCCTCTGTTTCCCACTGTGGAAAATGGAGATAACAGTCCCCACCTGAGATCGCCGGGTAAGGAGCCTTGTGCCCCACCCAGCACAGGGGTGCCAAAGGGCAGCGTGGGTCCCTGCGGGTCCCCCTAGAGAGAGGCAGGAGCTGAGACCAGCTGTTCCTGGTGGACTTCCCCAAGGAGGTGGTGTTTCACCTAGACTTTCATGAATAAAGAGAGGTAGGATGAGTTCTAGGCTGAGAGGGGGGGAAACGCCCCACAGAGGGCCTAGCAGGGCTGCTCCGTGGCCAGAGTAAGCCAGAGAATGTGCAGGAAGCTGTCACAGAAGAGGCCGGAAAGTGCCGTGGCCACGTGCAGAGAGCCTTGAAGGCCGACTAGAAAGGTTTGCGACTGCTCTATCTGATATGTAGCCGCTAGCCATACATACCTATTTAAGTTTACATTAACTAAAAATTAAAATTCAGTCCCTCGGTCACATTAGCCACACTTCCAGTGCTCGTAGCCACTTGAGGCTAGTGGCTATTGAATAGAACAGTGCAGATGTAGCACATTGCCACCATTGCAGAAAGTTCTGGTGGGCGGTGCTGGTTTGGGCTTTGTCCAGGAGACCGTTGGGCTCCGCTAAGATTTCTGAACAGAAGAGGGACCAGAAAGAGCCAAGGGACTCTTGAACTTCAGGGGAATGTTGCATACTCGGGCCTGCCCAGAGATGGGTTTCCAGTGTGGCCACACTGCTCTCTCGTGGCTGACCGTGGGTGGGGCAGTAGGCCGGGGCACCTGGGCTGGGGTGTTGAGTGGCTATGGCAGGGTCCCCAGCCCAGCTGACTCCCTGCAGGTCAGGTGAGACTCTGACATCTGTTAGAGGGTGTGGGCGTGGGCTGGGGGGAGAAGGGGGTGGGGGCTGGTCTGATGGATGGCAGGGGGCCCACCGCTTACACTGCCCTCTGCTCACAGGTACATGGCCATCGTCCACCCCTTCCAGCCACGGCTCTCAGCCCCTGGCACCAAAGCGGTTATCGCTGGCATCTGGCTGGTGGCCTTGGCCCTGGCCTTCCCCCAGTGCTTCTACTCTACCATCACCATGGACCAGGGCGCAACCAAGTGTGTGGTGGCCTGGCCCGAAGACAGCCGGGGCAAGACGCTCCTTGTGTAAGGCCTGGGGGGAGGGGCACGGGGCGTGTGCGTGTGTGTATGTACGTGCATTCACGTCCGTGCGTGTAGTGTGTGCATAGCAGTCTGTGAATGTGTATGGGATTATGTGAGTACACACATACATTAAAAGTAACTCTAAGTGCCAGGCCTGTTCTAAGCACCTTACGTATATTAAGCCATTTAATTCTCTTAACAACGTAAGGTATGTATTATTATTCTTTCCATTTGCAGATGAGGAAATTGAGGCACTGAAAAACTAAGTAATGTGCCCAAGATCACACAGCCAGTACATGGTAAAGCAGGGGTTCAAATCCAGGCAGCCCTGCTTCAGAGCCCCATCTCCTAACCACTGTGCTACTTAAGTAGGTATATACAGATCCCTAAATAAGGCTATGTGCACCTGCGCAAGTGTATGTCATAGACACCTGCTGCACCCACTCTCGTCTGCGTGTGCATGCAAGTGTGGGGGTATGTTTGTAGATGTGTGTGTGTGCACAGGCATGTGTTAGGCAATGTGTGCAGGCGCATGTTTGGGGAGGGCTCTGTGTATACTTAGGCGGCAAAGGGTCAGGGTATTGTGGCAGAAAGGGCCAGCGATGGAGCCTGGGATGTTTTCAGGAGGGTGCCTGGTGCCTGCTTCATGCTGAGGTGGGCACCATGGGCTGGGGGCAGGGTGGGAGGGAGTAGAAGAACTCAGGCATGGCCCAGCTGCTGTGTGACCCTGGGTAAGTCCTTTCCTCATTCTGGGCCTGTTTCTGAGGTTCTCATGGTATGGCTTTGTGATCCCCAAACAGTGTACCATTGGTGAGTAAAGGATGAAGAACTAACTGAGGTGTTGGAGCCAGTCGCCGGTCAGAATCTTGCTTGGTACCCTCCTGGCTGGAGGACCCTCATAGTCACTTAATGTCTCTGGGCCTTTGGCTCCTTCTCTGTAAAACGGGGATTAGTAATAGTACCTTGCTCAGGGGCTGTTGTGAGCATAATTGAGATAAGCCCTTAGCACCATGCTTGGCACAGAACTGGCACCTCCTACGTGGTAGTTTAAATAGAGGACAAACAGAAACAAATCTGGGGGTGGCAGATTTAGTCTAACAAAGTCTGAGCTGCCCCAAGCATGAGGATGTGCATGCTCTGAGCTGAGGGCTGCCAGCAACACAGCCCCCAACCCCACCTCCCGAACACCTCTCCCCCAACACCCACCCCTACCTGGTCTCCATCTGTCCCCAGCACCTGCCAGGAGAGGACCGCTCCAAGGTCTTCCATGCTAGGAAGGCACTTGCCCAGGGTCTCTGCCCCCACCCTGTACCCACCCTCCCAGGGACGGTGGTGTCCATGTAGAAGCACCGCCCATTCTGGCTCAGGGAGGCGGAGGGCAGAACATTTTGGAACTGGCCACTGGGGGGCAGTGTTTCTCCATCTTTTTTTTTTTTTTTTCCTTTTTGTCTTTTTTCGTGACCGGTAATGGGATCGCAACCCTCGGTGTCGCGCCCGCACTGTGCTCAACCAGTGAGCCGACGGGTCTATATATGGGATCCGAACCCTCGGCGGGAGTGCCGCCGTTCTCCCAAGCGCCGCACTCTACCGAATGCGCCACCAGGCCGGCCCCTCTCCATCTTAATACAGACCTTTCTCGGTGGCTGCGGGGAGGGGACAGGACCATAAGATTTCCAGAGCACTGGCTCTCTAGGGGTGGTGAGTTCCAACCTGGATTCAGGCCACAGGGAAAGAAAGGAGGGCGGGAGTGGGCTAGGAAAGCCATACTCTGGAGTTCTTAGAATTCTGGGAGGATTTGGGGAAAGCCTGGTTTTATGTGTGAGAATGTGTTACTGTTTTTCTTGGGTGGGGGAGTTATCTGATTTAGATTGGGGTTTCCATCCTCACAGGCTCACATGTTGTATGTGTGGAAGAAACTGATGAAATTACAGATTCCCTCTCCAGGAACATGCACATACACCCCCAAAACCAAAATACAAAAACAGCAGTTCATGCTTCCTGACCTTGGCAGGTTCTAGAAGGCAGCCTCCAAGACCTCTCAGCTCTCACTCCTGCGCGGGAACCTAGCCCAGGGTGAATTCCTGTCCTGCACCACAACCCTGGAAAGAATGAGGCAACAGAGAAGTGCTGCTCCTACTTGGCAAGGACTTAGAGATTACCTCCTCATTTTACAAATGGGGAAACTGAGGCTGAGGGAGAGACCTGACTTTCCCAAGGTCTTTAAATTAGAGGCTGGACAGGATCCCTGTTCTGACTCCTACAGGGCTGATCTTCATTGAAAGGGAACTCATTTGGGTTTTGATTAAGTCTTTAGAGCTGTTTCCTATGATGCACAGGAAGTGCCTCTCTGTGTCTGTTTCCCCATCACTCTGGACACTGAGGCAGGTGGCCCAGTTGGGTCTTTCTAGCTCTGACACTCCGTAAGGTGACAGGGGCAGGGCACTCATTGCTCCTCCTTCCTCCTTACCTGCTCGACACTAGGGCTCTCGATCCAGATCCTACATGAGCGTCAGGGTGTCTAGAAGCCCCCAAACCTCTTGTAATCGGTATGGTTGCCAAAGCAAACAAGTGGAATTCTAAAGATAAGGGTTTAAGAAGAGCGATTCGCTAGAGCCACCTGTTGTCCTCCCTCAGGGTGATGGCTCCTCTTGACATGGGCCCAGCAAGGCTAGCACACTGTGGTGGGGTGGGGGACTTAAACACCTCAGCCCTCCTAATGAGAAAGAAAGAGGGCTCATGGTCTCAGGCCCATTCGTGGGACACCCCAAGGGCTCCCACTGCTCAGCCACCTTGGAATCAGTCCTCAGCCTGCCACCTGTTGGAGAGGGGCTGCAGCATCACTCAGAAACCAGGGACAGGGGAGGGGGACACATTTCCTTTACACTCTTTCCAAAAGGAAATGAAAAGCATCAGCACAACCCAGTGTCCCCCCTGGAGACTGGGTAAGTAGCCATGCAGTGGCATTCTGGGCCACTTGCTCAGAGGTGGTATACGAGGGCATTTGTGGACATGAATGATGGTCCCCACAAAATGCTGGAGGGGAGGAAGCAAAGGACACAGTGGCGTGTACCACATGGTGCTTTCCAACCGCCCCATTCCTTGATAGGCATGTTGGTACCAGATGGAACCTTCTTTTTTTTTTTTTTTTTTGACCGGTAAGGGGATCTTAACCCTTGACTTGGTGTTGTCAGCACCACGCTCACCCAGTGAGCGAACCGGCCATTCCTATATGGGATCCGAACCCGGGGCCTTGGTGTTATCAGCACCGCACTCTCCCGAGTGAGCCACGGGCTGGTCCCAGATGGAACCTTCTTAACTCCAGAAATTCTTTTCCTTTTTCTTATAGAAATTTTAATTGTGATTTTAAAAATCCCATAAAATTCACATATGATCCAATGACCTTGTTAAAGCATGGTAAGGAAGACTTTATTCAGGACCATCCATCGCAATAGGTATTGCAGTGGGGGAGAGAGATTGAGCTCAACTCTGAACACAGCACAGGCCAGTGGAAATTGATAGCTGAGGAGCACAGTGGGGGTCAGTGGGTGGAAAATGACCAAGGGGAAACATCAGGGGTGGGGGGATTCTGGCTAAACCCACCTACCAGGACTCTTGCTGAAGGTTGGCCAGGGTGGTCAGACCTCACCTGGGCGATGGTGGGGGATGAGAAACCCAATCACACGTCATCAAGGGTGATCGGATATGGAGCAGGGCGGGGGGGCTATTTGCTAAAGTAACTTAGCAAGGTTCTTTGATAAACCTGGATTTTTTTTTTTTTAAAAAGGATGACCGGTAAGGGGATTTCAACCCTTGGCCTGGTGTTGTCAGCACCACGCTCAGCCAGTGAGCAAACCAGCCATCCCTATATAGGATCCGAACCCGTGGCCTTGGTGTTATCAGCACCGCACTCTACCGAGTGAGCCACAGGCCGGCCCAATAAACCTGGATTTTATAGGGAAGTCCACGATGGGCCTGGGAGAAAGTTCAGGAGCCTGGGTCAAGTTTGGCGAAGCCAATAATCTGTCACATCTTAACCATTTCTAAGTGTACACAGCTGAGTCACATTGAGTCTTCACATTGCTGTGCAACCGATCTCTAGAACTAGTTCTCATCTTGCAAAACGGAAACTATCTAAAACGGAAACTATCTTTGTTGAACCAACAATTCCCCATTTCTCCCTCCCCCCAGTCCCTGGCAACCACCATTCTACTTTCATTTCTAAATCAACTTCAGTAATTCCATCCATCCACCCAGACAGATACGGATTATATATAATCTATCTAATATAAATATGTACTATATACATGCAACATATATATCTGTACGTACATATGATTCTCGAAGAAGAGATGCCAAGTTGTCAATAGTGGAGAGAATGGAATAAGTAATTTTACTTCCTCCTTGCGCTTCATGGTATTTTTACACAAACGTATTGCTTGGTTAACTTTTTTTGTTCCTATTTATCTCCTTTTTTGGTACCTGTCACATGGAAGGTCGCAGGGCCAATGTTGGTGGCCCGTTTGCTGGGGAAGCACCCTTTTGGCACATATGCAACGCAGTGTTGCCTTTATTTTTCTTTAAATCAAAACAAGGCCTTAGGAGGTGGCCTGGGGTGGCTCGGGGCGCGGCTCCTGGGCGCCCGCGGGATCCCGGGGACGAGTCGCCCCCGCCGCCCGCTGCCCAGCCTGGCTCTCCCTCCAGGTACCACCTCGTGGTGATCGCCCTCATCTATTTCCTGCCCCTCGTGGTGATGTTCGTCTCCTACAGCGTCATCGGCCTCACGCTCTGGAGGCGCGCGGTCCCCGGACACCAGGCGCACGGTGCCAACCTGCGCCACCTGCAGGCCAAGAAGAAGGTGGGCGCGGGGGCGGTGCTGGGGCGGCCGG